GGGGGGGGGGGGGGGGGGAGAGAATAAAACAGAAAAGAACAAATTATGCCCAGTCTTGAGCCAACATCAGAATACCCTGCGATAAAATTACATTCTACATGTAAAACAAGAAACGTTAGGAATCTGCTGTTTATCAGAACACAGATGTATCAAATTAAATCTTAATTAATCTGACGGACGCAGTTAAGCATGAGCATAATTAGTACAAAGCGTGTAGCGCCGTGTTTTTGTAACATGATGTTCAAAGTAAACATAGCAATCTGATTATCATACGTATACATCAAATGGCTACTGGTCAGTCTGAATGTCATAGGAGATCAGACTCCAATGTGCACTTCTAGGCAGAAACACAGAGTTGGCATACAAGATACACGTATTTGGCACCTGGAATCTCTGAAGAATAGAAGATACTCTTTGCCTTCAAATAATAGTAATCTTTACCTTCTAATAGATTAATTACTTATTATTCTGAAACTGTAAAATTAATTATTCTATTTAAGAGGCTGTATATAAGCATTTGAAGATATCATATAGCAAAATAATGAGAGAATTTTCACTTCATCCACGAAATAGCCTACCAAATAAAGATTGCTGTCCTCTGGAATGTTACACCATGCACCCTGGTAGATACTGACCAACCAGAAATCATATTCGTCGCCGTGTGACCCTGATAAATCGCCTATTCTATCAGTCTAGTAGGAAAATAATTTTCAATAGCACTAAAAGCACGTGATAAAACTAAATTGACGAATGACATCTTACTGGGGAAACTGAAGACCGCTTACTGGTTAGATTTCTGTTCTTGGGTACCGTGAAGAAATAAATTACAATTCCGAAAGGCAACACAAATTTGAATTTATTTACAAGAAGGCGGGTGTAAGGAAAACTGAACCAAACAGCAATAACTGTGGGTATTTATTGACTGTGATACAGCTGGATATTCGCTGTTAGCTAGTTATTCTGAAAAAAAATTATTAATATCATTTCAATTATAAGCTTTAATTTTACTGAAACAATTAAAATCCTCATCGCAAGTTAATTAATCTGTCCTGTTAAACAATTTCGGAACCTTTAAAATGAAGTTTATCTATAAAAATTAAATTACTTACATAGCGTTATTATAATGTCTATTGAATAAACTGTGCGCAGTGATTTCTGTTTTTATTATTTTACGTCTGATTCCTGATAAATTTCGAGAATGCGAATGAAAGTAGGAATAACAGAATAGAATAACAAAATAATATAACAATCTTTCTTTTAGTATAATAAAAATATATTTTCATTTATGCTTAAATATCTTTAAGATTATAAAATATTTAAATCCCCCACTCTTTTCAATTTTCTTTTACAACAAAAACATAATGTCATCAAAATAACGCTCTGAAACAAGTAAAGTAACTTGCGCTTGGCGAATTTTTACGACTTCTTACGAGTCTTTTACATAACATTCTGCTTATTTCAAAGCGAGAAGAACTGCAAGGCGAAATTTCGGAAATACAGCCAATTATCGGCAGTCTACATCAAATCTGTACTGGGCAGGTGCTGCCAACATTAACAATTTATACAGCTTGGTTCTATGTCTAATATTTGCTTAGTATATTACATGTGACGCTATCTTAAAAAACTGTGCACAAACATAAATTCGAACTGTAGTCGAAATATCGGTTTAATGGTCTCTTAAGGCTCACACACAGACACGGAGAACAGCTCTTCAAAAGGCTAAACATTCTGTGTAAAACCAGCAACGTGAATTTTAAATGATGTATACAATAAATTATATTCCAAAGTTAAACAAGAGGCTTCAAAATTCAGTATTTTATATATTATCAAAGCAGTATTATCAGAAGTTAAAAATAATGGGCGCATAGATTTAATAAAAATATCAAAACCGAATTTAATCATTGGGAATCGTTGTAATGTCGATAAGGTACGACGCTGAGGCTATCGGCATATCTACCCAGTGAACCTGAGATCAAACACATCTTATATTAAGCTTCCATTGACCCACTCAGAAGAACGTAAAAGTAGTTAAAAGAAACAAAGAGGCCTTCATGGATAAATAAATATCAGAAAGACAAGTAGAGACATCTCGTGGGAAACGGTGACAACTGCGTTATTGTACTCAAACGTTGAAGTTTATGAAGCAGTAAAATGTCTCACCGAGTTTCAAAAACATTTGGCCATCAGTGATGCAAATTAAGGTTCTCTGGTCTAACAAGACATGTATCAAAAATAAATAACTACTAATTTCGATAGGAATACATGAGACATGCTCACAGCCTAAATAACCTCAATATACTACTTTAATAATACAACATTTCGATATGTTTAAAGTAATTATACACATACCTGTTGAAATTCTAGTAGTTGTAGGGGAGTTCTTGTTATAAAAACGTACGTTTCATAGAGCTTTCATACAGAACTATCTCTAATATATAACTTACTTTTGTACCACACACACACACACGCGCTCGCACGTTTCTTGTTATAAACAGAACAAAAGAACATCACATGGTGATCGCTTATACGTCACGGCTGCGGGCGCTTTCATAAAATAGTTCGCCAGTGCTGCCACAAATTCTGTTCCGCTGTGTCAGAAATATTAGCACGGCCGATTATAATACTGAGGAATGTGACGCAGACTTCAGTAATCAATAAATAAACTACACTGAACTATAATATGATGTCTGAATCATTTAGAATGTATATCTATTGAGTCCCTTAAAGGGGCCACGTGAGATAATTATACCTCCAACATAGGACAAATATGATACGTTTCTTTTATGTAAAAGAACACATTTAACGGGTTGCTAGACCCAACATAAGCTCTACTTAACTTGTCTTTCCGCAAGCTTAGTAAATATGACCGGTTTTAGTTCGTAGATGAGCAAAACATCTTCTTGAACATCAACAAACCAACAACGAAAAGTCAGGTGTACACGGTCAACGGGTGAGAGACATGTTTACACGGTCAAAACATAATATAGAATCTGATAACAACTTTACATGGGAGATTTCATTAAAATAGCGTAACAGTCATGTCCGATGTCACGAAGTACTCTAGGTTCCCCGTTTTAATGATACATGTTCCTGTCTATTGATAAAATCAACTGAACAAACTCACTGGATGTGAAATTTGAAACTGTTAACACGCATATGCACAAAAACTGTCACACTGCCGTAGAAAGAAAACTTGATGACAAATATTGCACGAGCCAGCCGTGGATTTAGGAAGTATTGCGTTATATAGATGGCATCACAGTCGTTGTTGACAATATGTCATACTCAGTTATATTTATAAACGTCTACAAATATAGAAATGTCAGCTGATTATTTCTTGCGTTCTTGCTCATAAACTGTTCGCAGAGTCCCGTGCATCTGAAAATAAAAATAAAGGCTTAAACACTTGTTTCAAACTATAAAATGCTGACGTATTTGTACACAGGAGAGTACAAGTACGTCTACATTACGAAATTCCGATACTGTCGTAATTAATATTAACAAATACAAAATTGAGTATAATCGACTAAGCCAATTAACTTCGTAGAAACAGAATGTAACAATATTCATTCGAATTTAATTTGCACATTAGATTGTAGCGTTCAAATAACGAGATATGACGCAATATAGCACTCCACGCTTTTTAAAGTTTTGCAAAGAGTATAAACTAAGTAAGACTCTTTATCAAATGACATTTTAATAAAATGGAATGCTATAAATACGGATCATTAAATGAACTGGATCATCTGTATCTCTCACCACGCAATAAACTACCACATTTTACTTCGTACCTTGTTTTCATGATGTATTTCCAAAAAATAAAAAACATAATTTCTGCAAACGCCTATAAAGGTGGCAAGTGCAGTTTAGTCTAGACAATGAGAAGCAAACACGAAGTAATGACGCTAGTCATTAGGCGTTTTCATAATAGCTGTAATACTGGATTGGTACGATGTCCGTATGACCTCACAATAAGCATTTTCATTGATTCAAAAGCTGTGACAGAAAGATTAATGAACGGAACATGGTTTTAAAATTTACTTCAATTATTATGGGGCGTCAACGTGTGGGTTACTAACTTAATAATTAAAGCGTCAGAATCAGAACTTAGTCGGGTGAAAAGCGGATGACGACATACAACATACTGTTACTATGGACACTAATGGTAATGCAAAGTCCAGGACCATTATAATTACAGTTATTAATGCTAAATAGCGCGGAATGTCAAATGGGTACCATTTTTCGTTTACTTCTGGTTCATTAATTGAATTTACTCCGCAATGCGGGTTTTATTGTGGTCTAGTTTGTTAGATATTAAAAGTAACACGTCGTTCAGCTAGTAGATGCTAAAAGGCAACGATCAACAGTTGCATAGTTAGGCAATGATAATGTTACGGTCTGAATAAATTAGTTGAGTACAAGGGAAGTGTAAGGTACTCAGTTTGAAAACTCATATTTTGCGATACTTTTAACTTGTGTGGTCAGCATTATACAAGATCTTCTTCCAGCTGTATGAATATTCTATTCATTTGTTTTTCGTGTCTCATCGCTATTCACTTTTGCAAGTAAGAACACGTTGTTGGAAAGCCAATCACAATGCATAATTATTAATACACAGAGCTAATGTAGAAAAATGTTTCGCAAAAGAGTTTAAAACAGCTAACGCGTTACCTTTCCTAACTTGTCTACAATGGACACGATTTACAAGTGTCCGCCATTATCAAGTATTACCCCCGTTCAGAACGGAACTAATTGACGTTAGACCCAACGACTTACCTTTGGCTGGGCTTGGCTCTGAGGCTTCAGGCTCTAGTCTGCCCGCGGCGGACTGCAACCCCAGCCTAGACGGTGGTGGTTGCAAAGGGAACATTCTGTGTTCACTAGGCCACGTGGCCGCCGTCGCAACCCCCATCAGATGGAACTGCTCCTCATCGGACATCGGAATAGAGCCCACGGACGACCGTGCCGTTCCCAGCGTGCCCTGGAGGTTAGGCACGTACTGCTCAGGTGTCCAGTCGAACGTGAATGCAGTGTGTGAGGTTTGGTGGGACAGACCGCCCCCACTGCTACTGCTTCCTCCCCCGTTAAGACTCCCTGGAGTCCCTGTGGGTGTCGGTGGCGTTGTGGTCATATAAGGACTGAGGTCTTGGTGTATGATGTCGGGCACTTTCTGGACTGTCGTGTCGGACCACGGCGGGCTGGGGTTCCACTGCTCGATGAACTCCGCCGGGTCGACTATCGCGGCCTTTATAACTCTGGTTCTACTCAGAGGATGCTGCAGCGCTGTCACCATGGAGGATGACGTCACTAGAATGGTACCACCACCGCCACCCCCACCGCGATCAAGATCAACAATCACTTCCGTGGATGGCGAAGATCTTGGTGAAGTGACGGCGGGTGTTTTCATGAACTCTATTTTG